GACCAGGAGAAGCTAGAAATGAGTCAGAGGTAATTTTTATAGGACCAGAAGAAGCTAGAAATGGGTCAGAGGTAATTTTTATGGGACCAGAAGAAGCTAGAAATGAGTCAGAGGTAATTTTAGTAGGACCAGAAGAAGCCAGAAATGGGTCAGAGGTAATTTTAATAGGACCAGAAGAAGCTAGAAATGGGTCAGAGGTAATTTTTATGGGACTAGAAGAAGCTAGAAATTAAAAACGACAAAAACTTCTTCTAAAAACGTTTTTACCTTATAATTTCTCAGCTCTTTTCAAAGTGTATATTTAGGACTGACAACAGGGAGAAAACTAAGCTACGGTCAGTACGTAGAATGCTACATTTCTCATCATTAATGTTCTAGGACAGAGTTTGTTATTTAACATAACTCTTCATTAGTTTAATGTCTGTCAAGTTTTATAAAGTTTGTTTTGAAACATGAGCCACTATTAGTTTTTTCAATTTGTAATTTCATTCTAGAGGATGTTCCTTTAAAACAGTTTGTTACTGAAGACAGCAAAAATGCAAGTCTGTGACTTTTCTATTACTGTGAACACACAAAATAAAAAGATATAACTTTTATGGAGTTCATACAAATATGAATATCTGTATCTAAACATCTACTGATATTATCCAGATTTTTAAAGTAAATGTGGAAAGTCAAAGTCTTACTAATATATCTGGAATTTTAATTGTATTCAAATGAAAAAAAATCACAAATTTGAAATGTTTAACTCGTACACGTTATCCTCTGTAACTGTGAGTTTCATCTAAACTGACATCTGTTGAGTTAAAGTAAACTGAGCAATGTGCTTACATTAGTTTGGGTCATCTGGTGGATACTGTGTTTAACTCATACACGTTATCCTCTGTAACTGTGAGTTTCATCTAAACTGACATCTGTTGAGTTAAAGTAAACTGAGCAATGTGCTTACATTAGTTTGCTCCCGGGTCATCTGGTGGATACTGAGTCCATGTTATCAATGTTTCCGGTGACCTGTACAGGAAGATCAATTTGGCGAAGAGATCCTCTTCCAAAGTGAACTCCCCACTTTCTCGTACAAGATATATGTCAAGACACAACTGAAGGACTCGGTCCACGTAAGGCATGTCATCAAACATGATTGTAAAGCTGGTGCCTGCAACAAACCCACGTACCAATCTGGACACCACCAGCACAAAGGTTGTGTATAACCCAACAATGCTGAAAACAAACAATAACGTTTTGTTTAGAACAATCATATATTTAAAACAATTTCTAAAGTACTACAGCCTAAGCCGTTGAATATCTTAAGACCACACCATAAATGTTTACAAGAAAAATATTCTGAGTATGATAGTAATCATTATATTATAAAGTTAGATTTCTTGTTCTACTTCACGAACGAGTTACATGATTTCTAAATCGCTCAAATTATTGTAAGATTTTACAGAAACATGATTAATTTCATGCTTAATTTACAGAAAAAAAAATTCAAAAGTAACAGCTATAACTAAAGGATGTAACTTAGAATGACAACGTCGCAACAAAAACAGCTCTTAAGAGGGTAAAAAAAGGAGTCCATTACGGTTTAAAAATAGACTTCTAACAATAAAGAATTCCTATATAAAGAACAAGTTTTCTTTAAAATAATGCAAAAAACAGAGGCTAGAATGAAAATCTGGAGAAATGAACAAAACACATTACATGTATGTCCATATAATAGTATCCAACCGAAGCTGGATTAAAATATACCGTTCAAACATACTTCACTGTCATTAACACTTACCCATATCCAGAAAGAACAGACAGTTCGGAAGGAAAAACTTTGTCACTGAAAGCAATCAGACGTAAGTACTGGCAATCTCTACTTGAGAGGAACGGATAAGGATAGGAGTTTCCACTGCAATCTTCCTGCACCTCCCACCACTCGGACTCGGCACTGAGGTTACCAAAACTTCCATACCTCAAGTGTAGAAACAGATCCCTGTAAAGTTGTTGTTCCTTATCTAGTTGTCGTTCTACAGTAAGAAATATAGCAATTTTCACAAAACGTTAATTATAACTTATTTTATTGTAGGCTTAAGTAGCATCTTAAGAGCTTTCTGTGGATGAGAAACAACATGATGTGTTTTCCAGTTTCTTTTTATGAAATTCCAGCCTTTATTGTGAGGCTTTCTTCAGGTCAAAGTGTCTGAGCACAGTCCACACAGATCTTCCTTACTGGTTATGCAGTAGGAAACATCCAACCAAACACAGGACCATGCTAAAACATCCAACCAAACACAGGACCATGCTGCATAACCAGTAGGAAACATCCAACCAAACACAGGACCATGCTACATAACCAGTAGAAAACATCCAACCAAACACAGGGCCATGCTACATAACCAGTAGGAAACATCCAACCAAACACAGGACCATGCTACATAACCAGTAGGAAACATCCAACCAAACACAGGAACATGCTACATAACCAGTTGGAAACATCCAACCAAACACAGGACCATGCTGCATAACCAGTAGGAAACCTCCAACCAAACACAGGACCATGCTGCATAACTCCTACTGGTTATGTAGCATGGTCCTGTGTTTGGTTGGATGTTTCCTACTGGTTATGT